AGTTTTGCTTTCTGAGCTTCAGAAAAGATTAATAGACAGTAAAAATATATAAAAATGTGTGAGCCAGGCAACTGATGGAATTGTACAATCCTGGGATGATTTGGGTTGGAAGGGACATTAAATCTCATCTCACTCCCACCCCCTGCCATGGGCAGGGACACCTTCCACCAGCCCAGGTTGCTCCAAGCCCCGTCCAACCTGACCTTGGACACTTCCAGGGATGGGGCAGCCACAGCTTCTCTGGGCAACCTGTGCCAGGGCCTCCCCACCCTCACAGGGAAGGATTCTCCCTGATCCTCCCTGTGTCTCCACGTTCCCTCCATCTTCCTTGATCCTCCCTGAGTCCTCACACTCCCTCAATCCTTATCCCATGTCCTCCCTGTTCTCCTTCCATTCTTCTCCTTGGTTTTGCCTGTGTCCTTATGCTCCCTCCATCCTCCCCCTGTGTCCCCATGTTCCCTTCATCCTCCGTGCTCCTCCCCATGTCCTCCCATTCCCTCCTTCTATCTCCCATGTGCTCCCTCCATCCCTCTCCTGATCCTCCCTCTTGTCCCCATGTTCCCTTCATCCTTCTTGATCCTTCAGTGTCCTCACACTCCCTCCCTCCATCTCCCGTGTCTTCCCTGTGCTCCCTCCATCCCTCTCCTGATCCTCCCTGTGTCCTCACACTCCCTCCATCCTCTCCCTGCTCCTCCCCACTGTTTTCCAGGGCTCAGAGGGATGAGGTGTGTGACCTCCTGAGGTCAGTGCCCAGCATTCCCATGGGAATTGGCACCTGAGCTGTCCTAGAAGAACGGTGCTTTCCCTGCCCTGGTGCCAGCCAGGGTGGAACCAGGGCCACATCCCGCCTGCCTGTCCCTGCTGGGGGCCAGCTGGCACCTGCAGGCTGCTCCCAGAGCACTTTGGGCAGGATTCACCCCTGCAGTCCCTCTGGAATTACCTCGAGCTCAGGGAAAATCTTCCAGCACAGACACCCCCCGTGATCCTCCTACACAGGGAGTTCCCAGATGGACAATTTCCAAGTCCCCATCTCTGCTGTTTTGGGGACACACTAAACTGGAGCCCTGGTGGGGCTCTGCTGAGCTCTGGGATCGTGCTCTGGATGTGCTGGGAATGGGGGGCTTTGTCCTCTTTCCAACACCTGGAATTGCTTCTGGCATTTAGAACAGGTTGGCTCTCACTCCTGGGGTTGGGGGGGGGTGGTGTCCACAGGGAAACTTCAGTGGAATGGGAGGTACCTGGGAAAAAAGTGGGTTTGTTTCAATGAGGAGTTTTCTGTTCTGCCAAAGGTCAGGGAAGGATCCTGGATGGGAAGAACCTCTCCAGTGTCAGGGTTGCAGGATCAGCCCATCTTGTGATGCTCTAAATATGTTTGGCTTAATAACTGGGGAATTCCAACCCATTTTCCATAGGTTTCCATCTGGATCACAGCCATCCTTCAGCTGATGGTGCTGCTGGGGGTGCAGGGGGTCCCCATCCCCCTTCCTGCCCCCAGTGCTGCCCAGGAGATTCCCAAAAAACTCTCCCCCTTCTGTTTTGGGGGGTTTTACCCAAAGCCAGGGCACAATGTGTGTCCTGGTGCCACTTCCAGCAAAGTGGGACCTGTTGCTTCAATACCCGACCTGGAGCCTCGGGAAGTTCCATCCTAAGGGCAAAACGGGCCAAAATTGGTTTAACCCCTTAAAAGCAGGGAGAACTGGAGGAGTCCTGTGCCCAAATTCCTGTGCCTGCTCCTGCTCCTCCTTCCCTGGCACAGCCTGGATCCCTCGGTGCTGCTCCTGCTGCTGCTGTTCCCTGACTCAGGGCTGAGTCACTCGGGGTGGGGGGTGTGTTTCGCTTTGGAACGAGGATAAATAGATTTGTTTCTCAAAAATCTCCAGCAGGAAAACATTCCCCCCCCACCCCCCGAACAGAACCGTCATCCATCAGCTTTGTCTTCAGCTGGCTCGGCTCCTGAATCATTGATGATGTTACAGCCGCTGCTGTGCCCCGAGGGGGGGAGGAAAAAGATCTGGGAATTAACGGGAGGAAGGGCATCGTTCTCACTTCATCAAGCGCAGGCTGAGCTGA